TGTTGCAAGTGTGTGCGGAGCACCAGTTATTTCTTGGTAGCGCTGATTTTAGACACAGTGGGCGCCGTCGAGTCACTTGGCGTCCTACTGTAGCTGGCCAGCGATAGATTCAAATACATCACATTGCCATAAGTCACAGATGGTGTGGTTGCATGCTCGATGGTCGTTCCTGCTGGAGTACCTGCGTCGACTCTGAGTATGCATTGGTACGCTGTCGCTTTTCCATGAACTTTACCGAGAGGCGCACCAAGCGTCTTCCCCGATTGGCCACTGAGAAATTGTCTCAGCCCTCGGTCTGGCAAGCCTACTAAGCTGTACTGCGTACCGAACTTTCAAACCCTTGTCCTAATGACACTGACGTTCAGTGGAATAGGATCTCGGTCGACATGCATGACGCAGGAGCATCTGTTTGTGGCACTATCAATCGTCACCGCAACAGTCACTGGATATCCGAGAGGTCGGTGAACCTGTTGGAATCCAGAATAAACCTCCCGGCTGGCTCTGAACACAATGTGACCAGGAAGAATACTATAGGTGCGAACTAAAGCGGAGGCTGCGCGCTGACAAGGAAGCCTGGTGGACCATTCGAGCAGGAGCAGTAGGCAATTATCGAAATATCTCCCAGCTGATCCGTACCACTGGTTCCAGGAATCCAGGCGTTAGTGAGACAATCAGAGACAGCAAGGGTGCATTGATTCAAAGACGGAGTGTCGTGTGCCTCGTTGGGCGGAGCAGTTTCAAGACCAGCTCAGTTGGCCACTTGCATTCGGACGTCTTCCTACTCAGGTGATGCAGGAGCCATGGAAGGTTAGTTTAGAGACTCCATCGGACGTTGAGATCCGAAACGCGACCACAGCCCTCAAGTGTTTGCGTGCTGCTGGCCTGAATTCCCTCTCACCTGCACTAGTTAAGGATGAAGATGAGGTCCTCTGCAGAGCACTGACCACCTTGTTGGAACATATCTGGAGGGAAGACACCATGCTGACTAACTGGAGTGAATCGATTAAAGTGGCGCTATATAAGAAGAGCATTCGCACCGACTGTGCTAACCACAGGGGTATTAGCCAAACGCCAGTTGTGACAAAAGTACTGACATCAATTCTCGTTCGTCGCCTCAATGCGGAACGGGAACCGCGGATTAAGGAAGAGTAGGCAGGTTTCAGCCCAGGACGGAGCTGTATAGAGCACATATCCACACTGCGGCAGCGCCACACGTACCGCAGACCAACAATAGCTGTGTTCCTTGATCTCAAGAGTGCGTTCCATTCAGTCGGTGGATGCATTCCGTTCGAAATACTTGCTCGGAAAGGTGTCCCTATGAAACATCTTACGCACTCTATACTCAAACACTACAGGTCGCGTCAGGGTCTACAGTGACCTGTCGGATATCGTTCCGAGAACAAGTGGCGTTTGTTTGAGTTGCCCAATTTCCACAATTTTTTCAACTTCGTCGTGAATTCCATCAGGGGGTGTTCCTTTGCGGAATCTCACGATTTAGACGTTGAGGTCTTGCCTGGTAAAGAACTGGTTGACATCGATTATGCGGAGGTTATCGCCTTGCGTTTTAACGATGTCGGGGTGGCGAAATCAATTCTGAATAACCTCCCTAGAGTGGTCCGGTAACTTAGCATGCGCTTCGCATCTTCAAAGTGTTGCTGCAGGACTACCATTCACTTGATGACCCCTGATGACGAAGAAACCGAGGTAATTGATAAATTCACGTACTTTGGCAGCTGCAGCAGCAGCAATGATGAGCGCATAGCAACTGAAGTCAGTTCACGCATTGCAAAAACAAGAATCGCCTTTTTGAATTTGCGACATCTTTGGTGACAGAAAGGAGTTATCTGCCATCTAGCAGGCCGTGTATACAAAGCCACAATGAGGGTCGTCCTACTCTATGGAAACGAGACATGGTCCCCGATATGAGGACCTGCAGCGTCGTCAAGTCTTTGACCATCGGTGTCTGCGAAGCACCGCTGGTGTCGGACGGGCACCAGCATGTCCGCAAAGATGATGTGCGTAGACGAGTACTTGGTAGTGATAACCAGGGCAGTTCCTCAGAACAAAGGATGGCACTAAATAAGTTGCGTTGGTTTGAACACGTACTTCGTATGCCCAGTCACCGCTTATCGAGGCGTTGTTTTGTTTGCCAGATGTAGGGTGGCGCAAGACCTGAGTTAGAAAATGAAGTCACTGACGACCCAAATCGTTGCCGCTGGTTCATCTCGCCTCCCAGGCTGGAGTCTATGTGACGCGCCTTGTGCTTGGCTTGAGATGTTTATAGGACACGACTTGCAGTCAACACCAGTTGTGGGTCTGCTGTCGTCTTCTGGTCGGACTGCCTGTTTAAAGTGCGTCTGGTGTTGAGTTATCTGCGGAGTAATGGCTGATTATGACGCGGGGCAGTGAAAGCCGCAGATAAGCTGTCCCGTGGATGCCGCCTTATCTTTGCATGATAGGTAGCTGTTTGTGACGGTATGTTGTTAACAAGATGTAGGTGCCTTGACCCGGAGTGCTAGGGCATTAAGATTCTACACTAGGTCCTCTTCTGTCCCTCTTATAGTTCTTCGCTTCGTAGGTCACTGTGGTTGTATGGCAGCGAAGCGTCAGTTCAAATGTCTGATGTACTGCTGTTGATGACGAGCAACAGTGATAACGACACTGTATAGCCAGAGATGCGAAGAGTGTAGTAATTGTCAGCGGTTTCGGAACAAGCAAGCCGAAGATACGTCTGTTGTATCAAGAAAGCCGTAGGAAAGGTAAAATGTATCTGGCAAAATTAATTAAGTACAACTTAGTCAATCCTTTGTTAAACGGAGAGTCAAGCGACAGACGCACACAACCAATAGTAATGAGTCAGCAATCCAACCAATGAGCTTGAGCCAATCGATCTTGCTCACATGATTACTACAACGTCACCACGCTTTTACCTTGTATATGTGCTTGGGAGGCACAACACACATCAATATTAGGAGAGTGAGCCAGTGCCGCGAATTAGACGATCTGACCCAGAGTGCGGAGGTTAAATGAACCGATGTGAAATGAGACCCTAGGTTTGATGGACGATCTGCATGTATCGAAGGCAGTAGCCACAATGTCAGAGGCAGTCTTTTGTACAAAAAACGAGGAAGAGAGAGGAGGAGAAAAACAAGAAGAGGGAGTGTTGTCGACGAGGTAGAGGTCAGATGATATATTCTGGATGCTCGTTCTGAGAGGATTTTGTTGGAGGTGCCCTACCTTTAAACAGTTTACCCACCAAGCATTAGGGCACATGGAAGTTCGCTTGAGGGACTCATTTACGGGCGAATTGGAAAAACCCATTTTCCATTTTAAAGTCTCTATACCACGACTCCAGCTGCTAAATAAGTAGTATGTTAACTGCCCTACTTCCCAAATCTTCCTAAACTTTGTGATCGAAATAAGATGGATGATCTTCTCTCTTCAGTTACATTGCTGGGGTCGAGATTCTGTCGGACTGCAGGCTACAAAATCTAAGCATGAAAGCAACAATACTCTTCGGAGTAAGATGCAAAGTTCATGCAAACGCTATTAAACAAGCTGATGTATAGCGCTTCAAATATTGGGTTATGCTTTGCATCTCCCAAGTGCAAATTGTTGCTACAGTATTGAACCGACTACCCATCAACTCTGTCATCGAACAACCGCTTAAACTTATCGACCGGTCTATTCATTTGGGTATTTGTGTATCAATTCTGGAGCTGATATCACCGAGGAGGCTCATGCATGCAATGCCAAGGTTCGGGCGGCTTTTCAAAGCAAGTCAGTTATGGCAACGTTCAGAGAAAACAATAAGGGCTAAAGAGATGCATTACGATGTTGAGACATGGCATATGCTACCAATGGGATCAGAACTCACGCTGCTGCGGACTACGGACATAAAAAGCTCAATGTGGTTGAACGTCAATGCAAGCGATGTAGTGCTCAGTTCTGATCAGGGGAATCGAGTGGTAACAGGCACTCTGGAGCCTCAGTGGAGTGCTTGTTAACTCCAACCACCTTTGTTGGATCGGTCACGTGCTCGTATGCTGAGTGTCCCGGTGTGTCTTGCTTGTCAATCATGGCTTAGTTGGACGAAATTTCAATGTGGCGGTTCAGTGATACGGTAAAACATTAGGAAGAAACTTGCCGAACTAGGTTGTTTATTGTCTTCTTCCCAGATGGGGACCTCAAGACTGACCAAATCAACGATTGGACATCTTTTCGGATATGGCGCAGTCACAAAGTTGGTAGCGCTACAGCCCCCGTTACCCAAATTATGGCTCTTTACAACCTCAGCTGGCTATATCATTTTTCACCCGTTTACCCTGAATTAATATTATTATTTCAGCGATGTGACTCAAGGCAAGTTGAATCGATGTGCTTCGGTGCATGCATCCCAATTGACAAACCGAACTGAATGAATTATGACGCAGAGTATTGAAATTCGTGACTATATGTAAATGACAAAATATAGGCACCTTGCCCGTGAATGCAGGACATTTTTGTTTGGCACTAGCACCTTCCCCTTTTAATAATTACCATTCCCTAGGTCATCATGACAGCGAGGCGTTAGTTTAGATTACTGACGTGATGATGCTGATGATAGAGCGTGCTGAGCTTATAACTGACAAGTTACGATCCGCTCTGGCTAAGTTTAGAATGAAATGGGTAGTAAGCATCTCGCCAAGCAACATTGTGCAGGTTACCGAGGCAGTTCAGTTGACTTTTAAGCAATATGATTAAGGCTCTAAGGCTCTTGGAGAGCGCCAACGAATGTGGTTCGATGGACCTCAGGATTGCACAAACCACTCCACTATGCTGCGATCCAGTATCATGAGGGTGGGCGATCAAATCTGCAATCGACATACCGTTATCTGCGTAAAAATGCAGAGAGTATAACGAGCGCAGGTTTGCACCAAATTGGTAGAAAAACAACACAAGAAATGCAAAGAAGAGGAAACATGCGAGCGCGGTAGATAGAACGGTATTTAATAACAAAGTCAGGAAATGTCATCTTCTGAGAGAGCAGAGGAGAAGTCAGACGGGGGCAGTGAAGGTGATCGTGCATCTCTGTCGCTAGTGTTTATAGTAGAGTCACTAGCCTCTCCACCTTGAGCGACTGGCTCCTGCTCCGCATCACTATCACTGCTGGCCACCAGTCGCTTTCGTTTCTCCAAACCAGCCAGCCCATCATCAGAATCGTCGCCTTTATTTGTTTCCGTGTCACTGGGGAATTCAGTGGGATTAAGTACATTCGACTTGCGCGACTTCACCGTCTTTCGGTGAGGAACACCTTCCTCTTCGCTGCTCACGTTATGAGATGCAGGCGGTCTATAGCGCTCAACTGTCGTTGGAGCTTCATCTTCTTCATCCGAGGACTGGATGGCATTGCGTTTCTGACCACGAGCCCTTCCGCTCCGTCCGAGACCAGCGAACCGTCTGGAATTGTGCGCCTTGGAAGGTAGCTTTTTGCCTTGCGAGAGATCCAAAGATGAAGATGAGTCTTCATGTCGTTCCGGTGTCGGCAACCGTTCAACAGGTTGATCGAGATCATCTTCATCGGAGGATAAGATCTTACGAGCTAGAGCGGTAACCCTGGCCTCATGCGCCGCTTCGTCTTCCACGTCGTCACCGCTGCTACTGTCGCTAGATTCGGACACAATCTCTTTGCTAACGACGCGCATACGCTGTCTCGCTGTCAGTCCATCATCTTTCGAACTGCTAAAACGAGCCTTTTTCCGAGCGCCTGAACGTTCCTCGACAGCACGTCGCCTCATACTTCGCTTGTGTTTCTGTCTATTGCTGCGGTTTCCTTCACCCTCTTCACCGTGATTACTTTGCCGGTCCTCGCTATTATCATCGCTTTCAGAAGCAATAAAATCATCACGTCGCCGGCTTCCCCCGCCACTTTTTCGCCCCTTTCGTTCCTGAAAGTGACAACAAAAAGAGATGGTAAGATATTGTACAAATGTGTAACTGTAGGGACAGTGAAATAGGCCTGGGGTTGCAAAACCCAGGCAGCAGCACCCAACGCGAGAAATCCACTTGCGAAGTTACGGACACATATTAAATTTATCCACAGGTGATGTGTTGACAAAGCAAACACAGTGAACTATTGAAAGTTGTAGGGTTGTTTGACGTGTCTGTCTGATCAGAGAAAAACTCAGTTCGTGGGGAGTGAGATCAGAGAGGTATGGGACACGCTAAGAAGTCAAACGCGAATGCTATGTTAAGTCCACTCACTTCAGCCGCGGGTTCGATGACAATCTGCTTTGCTTTTTCCAAAAATCGGCCACGCTCTTCCTCTAGTCGCCTTTCACGTTCCAAACGCATTTGTTCGGCTTGCTGCTGCAACTCCAGTTGTCGCTTACGCTGGGCTTCACGCTCGTCCTCCTGATGGTGGTTGTCAATAGGGGATAAATGAATGAAGTAGTGTTCAGTAGAAGGAGGAGCTAGCACGCAAGGCAAAATGCGTACAAAATGAAAGAGTGGCTGTAGCTGGATGAAGGCGGATGCAAAAAGAGCTTACACTGCTTAAACCGTGTGGATTGATAAATGGTCGAGTAAACTACAAGAGCAGGGGTGTCCAAAAGCAGGTAAAGCGTGTACGTACTGGCAACGTGGTAATACCGCAGCAGACTACTGCTCCTAAAACGAAGCACATAGTGACCGGAACCACTAGCTTTGAAGGGAATGCAGGTTCAATGACAGAAAGCGCCTGGTGAGTATCAATCACGATGAATCTAACGCCTTTCATGATCGATTGACGATGGGCGGGAATCAGTGGTTACAAGTTCAAAGTATGCAATGCCCACTTGCTTAAACTGCAGCGGTCGGCCAAATACAAGCCAACTTGCAAACTGTCCATTACTCTAGTTCATGTGTCTCGTGATTTTACCACATCTTTCTCTGTGAGCGAGAACCCATGTGGGGCTGCCGAAGCGAGCAATAGCCTCGAAGATAAAGCTGTCGTGGTTGACGCATCATCCCGGCTAAAGCGTTTACCGATCGGTCTAAGTAAGATAGTAACAGTGTCTTACAATGATTCGAGCCGGTGGCATAGCGGTAATTTTACAAAATTCGTGTCCGTCAGATAGCTTCTGCTCGAGTAAATGCTAGATCGCAAACCAACAAATAAAAGAATTGCGAAGTGATATTCCATCACTCATTTCTGCATCGTTCTGGAGCGTGATGACTATCGTGTAGAGCACAATCTATTAATGAAATATTGTTTTAAGAAACAGTGTGGTATGAGATTACCAGAGGCCGTGTTAGTCACTAACCTGTCGTTTGCGAACCACACGCTCCTGTTCTTCACGTGACTTGGCTCGATCCAAATGATATTTTGCTTGACTCAATAAATCCTGGCAAGCTCGTGCTTCTTCTGCCGCAAGTGGCTGGTTTAAAACTTCCGACAGTTTTGAGAGGTGATCAAAAGTACTGTCAAACAAGATATCGAATGAAGTTGTTTACTGTCGTAATGTATGGTTTCACCAGACAAGATAAAAACGACCATTCCCGTGAAGTGTGCGAAAGTAGACGAAATGGGGAAGACCGAGTTCAACGACGTGTGATCTTTTAGTGAACATTAAAACATGAAGTAATGGGAAATGGAGAGGTTTTCGCAAGCCTACTGTCCAAAAAGACCAGATAGTTGATATCCGTCAAACTGGTGAATAGAAAAACCTATTGTGGCGATAAAAATGAATCCGCCTACAAAATGAAGATTCGGAAATAAATTCGCATAAAGATGGTAACTAAGCACCGTGTACAATTTTTTCAATTGAAGTCGGGATCAAAGTGACTTGTAAAATGAGTGAGCCTAATATTGAACAACCGTGGAGCAAGTGCGTTAATTCGTTGCCAGGAAAAATAAAGTGGAGTCACGAAATTACCATCTGGCCATATTCAAGTCTGTAATGGCTTCACAAACCGATGAGAAGCTGCTGGTCTCATCTTGAAGCACAGTGACAGCTAATCGTTTCCGAACCAGAGCGAGGTTAAATGATAGGAGAGGGTCCGACGGCTTGACGTGAAGTGCCTGCAAGGGAAAGGAGAGGTTTCATAAAAATATAATACCAGACACTTTAACGCGCGCAAGCGAAATCAGTAAACACGGCTGTAAAGCACGATGGGCACTGTGCACAATCGGAAGGTAATAAGAGACACACGAAAAGAGGCAGATGAGGTGTGATCCTAAGTGAGGCTGAGTCAGGTTGGCGAGCAAAGCATTCATAGCAACAAACCATGGCCGTGGAAGACGAACCGTTGTATAAGCAAACAAGCACTAGACCTAGCTATTAAACATAAATGTAAACGATCGAATTAGAGGAGTTAGTTTTCGGAAAAATTAAGAGGAGTCCACAATATATCGGAACACATCGGCTAAATTATCTTGTATGTGCATTAGAAAGAGCAGCAGGTTCAGACTGTACGACATCAGGGGGTTATGATGACTGAAGCACACAGTTAAGCAACTACTGCAACTTTATCCGACAGTTGGCTCTTCCAGAAACACTGAGGACCCGGCAACAGTATGTGATGCAGAGAGGAAATCCGGTGCGAAAACTCAAAGTCCCTCAGAGTACTTACCCTTAAAAGCATCAGTTTACACTCCTTCAACTGGTTGGCCTTGAAATACGCTCTGGCGAGGTATTGGAGCAACTCCGTATTGTTTTGCATCGAAAACTTCTTTATACAGTTTTCGTACTGACAAAAAAGGAGAGAAGCAAACGAATACATATTTATATATTAATACATATATTACTTTTGAATGGAAGGATTTTGGTGAGTATTTTGTTCGTCGCAATCAGCCGACAATTCAGATATGTCGACTAGCTGTCCGGAAAAGCACCAGACGGCCGTTTCGCCCTATTGGGGCTCATCAGTGGTGCGCATCCTTCGGTCGTCTGCAGAGGATCGAACCCATGACTGCTAGTGGCTCTTGCCAACTAGCCCGCAGCTTATGCAACTGCGCCATGGAGGACGGTATCTGACTATCGTGAATTGTTAGCTAAACGCGATATAGCCCGACGCATCCTCCACTGCCATGCAGATGACAGCGGTCGACTTTCCGGCGTCAGGACTTCCCGGTTACGGCAGCTATGAATCGACATAGCATTTTGTGGAATCCGTACGGGCGAATTGGTATTACTTTTGAATGGGAGGATTTTGGTGAGTATTTTTGTTCGTCGCAATCAGCCGACAATTCAGATATGTCGACCAGCTGTCCGGAAAAGCGCCAGACGGCCGTTTCGCCCTATTGGGGCTCATCAGTGGTGCGCATCCTTCGGTCCTCTGTGGAAGATCCCAATAGGGCGAAACGGCCTTCTGGTGCTTTTTCGGACAGCTAGTCGACATATCTGAATTGTCGGCTGATTGCGACGAACAAAAATAATACATATATGTATGTTTTTTGATGCGCTGCACGCGCGCATGCCTATGCACCAAAAATGGTCAAGCTTAATACAAATGATGATTTCATAATGTCCAAAGAGATTGAGGTCTACAGGAATTATCTACCCCGGATGTGAGTTCGTGTAAATTCCCAGTAACGGTACGTTCAATCTCGCACACACGACAATTCGGTGGCAAATTGTAAACTAAAGAGAGAAAAATAGCTGCGAAAAGCGCGAATCTACAAACGATCTAATAGTGGAAAGAGTGAAAATTAAATGCCATCAAAATAAAACTTCAGGTAACATTTATTTAACACTAATGTAATGATGAAACACTGAGTCCCCTTCAACCACTTCATTACCGCAGTAAGAAGACATAGGTCGCGATGTGTTAACATTACGATTTCTCTCGTCAGTCTCTACGCAATACAGAGAGAACAAAATACGCATTCAATACGGTCCACACTTAGTAACATAGATACGCAAATACAATTAATGCGAATGACGTAGTCAGGTCCAAGACAATCTAATTGATTGCCTCAGTTGTTTCTGGGCACAGAGCAAGAGACAAGTTAACCTTATCAGTAGCGCTTCGCCAATTGCCTACAACGTCGGGTTACCGTTGCGTAATAGCACCTAGAATGAATCGATTGGGTTCACCTGGTGACGAGTCGTCATTAGGTGTTTGGTGATAGACGAGGCAGGGTTCCGGTTCATTCTTTGGCCCGCTCCACCTTGGTGCGACAGCAACTGCCTTAGCCAAAATGGGAAGTGTTCCGCCACCCTTTGAACCAGTCAGCGACCAGTCTTGCCGATGTAAGTGTCACCGCAACTGCAAGTGAAATGGTAGATGATGTTAGATACCGAACTGACTGGCAAGCTACTCGGACGACTGTGGAGAGGAACGCTTCGTGTAGTGTGGATAAGTCGCAGTTGGGCGGTCGAGTAGGTGCGCATTAGAGTGGACCTGAACTTGTGACCAACTTCATTTGCCACATACTTCCCATTGAACGGTAAGAACAAACAAACATCCTTCTCCGCAGCTTCTCCTTCGGGTGTCTGCTATGGGTCCGAATGAATTTCTCCTGATACCCATTGAATAGCAGAGTCCGGTATAAAACTCTCCTTCAGCCTTGAGCAATTCCGGACTGCAAATCCGTCTGGCTCTGTAGAAGTGAGCTTTTACAAGGCCGCGCTTGTATGTAAATGGGGCGAAGCTGGAAAAATGTAGGCAATGTCCCCTCAGGTCAATTTTCTGTACACAGTGTCCTGCAGTGTGCCATCGGTCCTTCTCTTGATGAGCACGTCCAGAAACGGCAGTCTGTCCTCTTGTTCCCTCTCCTGCGATACAGAAAGGTTAGCGTGAATTGAGTTCAGGAGGGCAGAAAGATGGTCAAAATGTTCACCATTTGTGAAGACGAAAATATCATCTACCTAACGCTTGTAAAGCTTGGCTTCACCTATGCAGGCAGCGACTTTCCTTTCAATCATACCCAAGATATCTGTCAGAACTGGTCCAAAAGGACTACCCATAGCAACGCCGTCGATTTGTTTGTAAGCCGTCCCTTCAAACTCGGAACGCACATTCTCAGTGCACAACAATATCAAGTCTCGCAGGTACTCCAGAGGAAGGCCCACAGAGAGGTTCCGACTCAAAGGAAATTGGCATAGGTCGTCGACTGTTTCACGTAGAGGCACGTTCTTGAAAAGCGATTTCACGTATATGGAATACATGAGCTCCGTGTCGAGTGATGTTTGTTCCAGTATATCCGCCAATTCAAAGGAGTCTTCGAAACAATACGTGCTTAGAAGCTTACACACGGGTTCTAAGAGCTTTGATAACCACCGGGCTACTTTGTGGTAAGGTGAGTTATTCATGCACATTGTTGGGCGTAGTGGAATTCCCGCCTTGTGCAGCTTCGGCGCTCCCCTCATCCTTGGTGTTTCCGTCCCTGTAGGATTTAGCTGTTGATATTGTGACTCGGAGATATAACCATGAAGCAAAAGAATTTGTAGATACCTTGTAATTTGTTTCTCCACCAAGATATTGTTGTCCAGCGTCTTGTCAACACGAAAACTGCGTCCATCTCCGAGAATCGACTCCATTTTTGCGGTGTAATCAACTTTGTCCATTTTTAACACACTAGTGCCTTTATCCGGCTGCTTATCTATGTTACTAAGTGTGGACCGTATTGAATGCGGGTTTTGTTCTGTCTGTATTGCGTAGAGACTGACGAGAGCAATCGAAATGTTAACATATCGCAACCTATGTCTCCTTACTGCGTTAAAGAACTAATGTAATGCTCAAGATGATGGGATGACATGCAGCTACTAGTTTTCATACCAATAAAGCTGACAATGAAAAACTTCGAAACATCGCGAAAAGTTTGTTCAGAATTAGACATATGGAGGATGGGTAATCTTGGCGGAAGTGATGAAACTGGTGCGGACATTTGATAGATATATCAGATACAACTTTGGTAAAATTAATGGATAGGCTGAAAAGAAGGTGCCTAAGAACGCGATAAAAATAAACATCCCCAATCGAAAGACAACACATACTAGTGGCTGTTGGAGTGGGAATTATACATAGAGAGTATAAGGAGGTCGAAAGTTCGTGGGCTACCGCTTCTGCTGGGAAGCATATGAGTTACGTCAGGTATGCACTGGTGTCACTTATCGAAATGCCCAAGTTAAGGGGTAGGTGATGCGTTACACTCTACACGCTGACAAAGAAGCCTGGTGGAGCACTCGGGCTCATGAAGTGGAGGAAGCAGAAGCAGTACGCAATTATCGCAAGCTCTTCCAGCTAATCCACACCACTGGTCCCAAGAATCCAGGCGTCAGTGAGACAATCAAAGACAGCGCGGGTGCTCTGATTCACAACAAGGAACGCCGTATGGCGGAACGCTTTAACGGCCAGTTCAGTTGGCTTCTTGCTTCCGGACTTCTTCTTACTCAGGTGTTGCAAACTGAGTCATAAACAGTTGGTTTAAACGCTCCATTGGTGTCTGAGGTCCGAAACGTGACCACAATCCTCAATCGTTTGCGAGCTGCTGGTACGGATTCCCTCCCACTTGCACTATTTAAGGATGGTCCTCAGTAAAGCACTGACCGCACTGGTCGAACACGTATGGAAGAAAACTGTCCCGGATCACTTGAGTGATTCGATCATAGTGGCAATATACAAGAACGGCAGTCGCACCGACTGTGTTAACCACAGGGGTATTAGCCAAACGCCAGTTGTGACAAAATTACTGACCTCGATTCTCGTTTGTTGCCTCAATGGGGAACGGAAACCACGGAGTAGGGAAGAGCAGGCAGGTTTCGGCCCAGGACGTGGCTGTAAAAACCACTTAACCACTTTGTGAAAGCTGCTAGAGCAGCACGACACACCGCAAACCAGCAATAGCTGTTCCTCGACCTCAAGAGTGCGTTCCATTCAGTGGATAGATGCATTCTGTTAGAAATACTTGCGCAGAAAGGTGTCAACAAGAAATATGTGAACATTTTACGTACTCTATACTCGAACACTACAGGCTGCCTCAGGGTCTATGGTGACCGGTCGGAAACGTCTCCGACAACAAGTGGCGTTTGTGGGGTTGCCCAATTAACCCATTTTTGTTCAATTTCGTCGTGGACTGCATCATGGAGTGTTCCGTCGCACAGCCTCACGATGCAGGCGCTGAGGTCCCGGTTGGTGAAAGGTTAGTTGATCTTGATTGTGCGTACGACATCGTCTTGCTTTTTGAAGATAATGGGGCGGCCCATGCAACCCTGAGTAGCCTGTCTGGAGTGGTCCCATTAGTTGGTATGCGCTTCCAACCTTCAAAGTGCAGTGTTGCTGCAGGACCACTAGGCACTTGATGATTCCTTGATCTTTGATAACGAGGCAGTTGATCGATGCAATTACCTTGACAGCTGCACGAGCAACGATAGGTGCATAGCAAATGCAGTCAGTTTACGTATTGCAAAAGCCAGAACTGTCTTCTTGTATCCGCGACATCCTTAGCGACAGAAGGGAGTTTCCTTCCGTCTAGAAGACCGTGTATACAAAACCACAATGAGGGCCGTCCTACTCAATGGGAATGAGACTTAGCTCTTTCGGTCTGAAGACCTGAGGCGTTTTCAAGTCCTTGATCACCGTTGTCTGCGGAGCATTGCTTGTGTCGTGTGGCACCAGCGTGTTCGCAACGATGATATGCGTAGACGAGTGCAAGGCCATGATACTCAAGCTAGTTCCTTAGAACAACATCAACATCATCATTATACACGTTAGCTAGACGTGGGAAATACCTCAGCTACTGTGCTGCAATACATAGAAGAAAAAAGGAGAAAAAATCAATGCAACTGGTGCAAGCCAGCTGAGCAACCGGTAACAGACGGGCATCGTTCCCTTAAGCTACCAGCCGGCTACTGTGCATCCAAAAAATTAATATTCAAAAGTATATAAGGTTAAATAATGAGATCGTGGTTTGAGGTGGAGGCTAAGAGGGATGGGGTGGGCCAAAGAAACAGCACGAACGCCACTGAGGTCGGCTCCTAGCCATATCAGCAAGTGTGTCCAACCTAGCGTGTTCATCGTCTTTCGGACCCCAACCAGGGAGCCGAGGCCAGCTCAGAAGTGAGGACATTCATTCCTCTCGATCAAGTCATCGCTTAGCCACCCCTCCTCTTCTTCCATCCACATCCCCGGCGCGCAAACAACGCATCTCGCGGGAGTCGGTGGGGTTGCATGCGTAACACCTGGCCAAGCCATCGGAGGCTGGTGCGTGGAATGACGGTGCTGAGCGGTTCATTTCCTTTCCATCTACCGTAAACAACGCGTCGAACACGGTCGTTGCTCATGCAGTGTTCCCATCAGATGTGAGCTAAATTACGAAGGCACCGGTGGTCGAACGTAACTAGCCTCTTCAGGTCTGCTGCTTTAAGCGACCAGATTTCACAACCGTACAGTAGGGTCGAACGAACCGCTGCATTGTACACTCTACCCTTCAGGGCAAGAGTTATGTCGCGCCGGCGCCATAAATGTCAAAGGTTAGCAAAAGCGCCCCGAGCTTTTGCTATACGGTTCGTGATCTCATCCTCAATCCCAAGGGCGCTGATACAACTTCTCAGGTAGTTGAATTTTTGAACGACTTCTAGGTGGTCCCCACCAACGGTCAGCGTAAGAGGCGGTCCAGGCCAATGTTTGAGGAACGCTTTGCACTTCGAGGGTGCGAAGCAAAGCCCGTAGTGACGGACAGCTAGTGCTAATCTGTCCAGTGCCGCTTGACACGTCTGGGAGCTGTCACAGATTAGAGCAAAATCATCAGCAGACTCCAAGTCAGGAAGTCATTCTCCTCGGGAGCAGATCCACACCTTCTAAGTCGTGTCCTATGAACACGACTTCCATGACTTCGTCAACAGCGAAGTTGAAGAGGAAAGGTGACAGCGGGCATCCTTGTCTTACACCGCTGGAGATATTAAAGGGCGACGACAACTTGCCATAAGCCCTCACTTTGCCTGAGCTACGCGCATATAATGCTCGGATAATATTTACCTATTTCTCCGGCACACCTTTCCTGAGTAGACAGTCCCAAAGTGCAAGTCTATCCACCGAATCGAATGCACTTTTGATATCGAGGAACACGACAACAGTGGGACCGCCAATATATTTGACGGTGCTCCAACAACTGACGCAAGGTGAAGATGTGGTCAATGCAGCCACGACCTCGACGAAATCCAGCTTGCCCTTCACGAATCTGACTATCACGAGTGTCAGTCAGTCTGTGAAGGATTACGAAGGTAAGCGATTCGGAGGCGATGGAGATCAGACTGATTCCTCTATGGCTGCCGCATTCCGATCGTGAGCCACCCTTGAAAATTGGGACTATGACGGAGCGGCTCCAGTTGGTTGGGACAGTTTCCTTCTCCCACAGTTTTACTAGTAACTTGTGTCCATCATCCACAGGAGCAGGTCCCCCGAATTTGTAGAGGGCTGGAGGAAGATCATCTGGTCCCGCGGCTTCATTTAACCTTAACAGTGTGATCTCACATACGACTTCTGAGCGAGAGGGTGGATCCAAAGGGACAGTCCACGGACCGGGGCGATCAGTGGCCGGCGAGAAATCTAACAATTCCGACCGATTAAATTGCCTTTCAAAGTGCTCAGCCCAACGCTCCAAGCGTTTTGACAAGTTGTGGATAGGCTGTCCACTCTCGTCACGTATAGTTTCACTAACACCAGGTCTCCTGCTGCCCGTTTCCCGTATCAGCCGGAATAACTTACGATGGTTACCAAGGGCAGCGGCCATTTCCATCTCTGAAGCACGATGAGACCACCAGGATTCGCGGTCTCTCTTCAGGCTAGCACGGAGTTTTGCCCGGAGCTCTTTGCGAGTTTCATTGTGTTCGCTTCCAGCCGGAATATGCCGGCGAGCATCGATAAGTTCCAGAGACTGCGAAGAGACCCAATGTCCATGTTGGCGATTAGACATACCACATGAGGATTTGCCTGCTGCTAGTAAGGTCTGGTGAATATGAGACCAGTGAGCTTCAATTGCATCCAGTGAGCGCTTACTCAACTCGCATGACAGCGTACTTTGATACGCATTCAGAACAGCTGGCTTCGCCAGTTGGCTGGTGTCAATGCGGTCACAACGTCGTCGTGGGCGTCCGCCAAAACGCATCCGCAGGTCAGCACATACAAGTGCATAGTCGGTGTCTACACATGTGCTCCAAATCGAGCGACAGTTCTGGATGTGCAGCCTCTCCAGCGGTAACTAATAGCAATGTGATCTGTTTGCGTCCAAGGCTGGTTCGAGGCTGGTGGGCGCCAAGTCACCCTCCGGCGAGTGCTGTGTCGGAAGTTAGTGTTCGCAAGAAATAAGCGAGCATCTTCACACAACTGAAGTAAGCGCTCACCGTTATCATTACGAGAGCCTACACCGTGCTGACCGCCCAGATGCATTTCATCAGTAAACAACTTTCCAACTTGTGCGTTCATATCCCCCGCCAGCACAACAGTGTCCGTGCTTCTTCTGTGGCGAAGGAGCTGAGTCAGTTGGCGGTAGAAGTCGTTCTTTACTGAATCATCACTACAGTTTGTGGGCTCGTAGGCAGATGAATAGACACCTATTAGTCCCGCGCGACTTCGAAGCTTTAAACGAGCCAGCCCATCGGACCGCACACATCCGGTTACTGATTGGAATCCAATCAACCAGAGCAGCTTCAACCCGGGGACTCAGGGAAATGCCAATACCAGCTTGGCCGGTGCTCGAAGCTGCATCGTCACCGGATAGGCGCAATGAGAAATTGCTGCTAGTGTCACCTGAAGGGGATCGCAGAGTGAGCACAGAGCTCGAGTCTTGCAGGCGGGTCTCTGATAAGCAGCAGATATCGATCGAGAGGGTCTCCAATTTTCGGGCAAGTGCTGCCTGTGACGGATCTGTAGTAATGTGCGTATAATGCGGAGGATCGAGGGCTCAAATGGAAGCCGATGAACTGGAATGGACCGCTTGGTTGGACATGGGCTTGTGGACAGGAGAGGAGTGACGCTCCGCGTTCACATGTGAGTTGAAATTCTATTCTATTTCTTCTTCTATTCTATTCTTCTATTCTATTCTATTCTTCTTCTATTCTTTTCCTCCCCCAAATCACGTTTTAATGCGTCACTAGTCTTTCGAGGATCTTTAACACTTTCCCGTATTAGGTAAGCGTCATCCCTGGCAGTGGTTTTCCTCTTGGGACCACATTTCTCTTTGCGTTTGGCGAAATGCATTCCGTTTCCTTTTTCTTTTTGACCACATGGCTGACGGTTGCCGGACTGACGCCTACTATTCTTGCTATGTCCCTGTAGGTCTTGTCTGTGTGTTCGTGCAAGGTCACGATTTTCATGCGCCCTCTGGGAGTCACCTCCATCTCAAACAATGACTGAATCACAAAAAACAAGAAGTTGAAACAAAAACCTTACTAACCATAAAAAGTATGATGCAATCTTGGGTGATGTAACGACTAGACATGCGCAGTTATTACATCGTCTGATTCACAAACAATGATGAAATATCTATTCCCAAAATAAAATAAAAAATAAATGCAAAACAGCAGCTTTCATGTATAAAAACATGATATTCATAGAGAAAATGACACAATCGTAGTTTGTTTCAATTAATGTGCACAAGGATATATATATATATATATATATATATATATATATATATATATATATATATATATATACCATTGTTATTTCTTGAGCTAGGGCCAATATTTAAAGGGGTGAGGTGACAAAGTAAGACTTGCAAGTAAATGTCAGTAATTTGGATGAAGATCGATCACAGTTGAAATGAGATGTGCAAACGAAACCGTCGGCCGACTGGTTGGAAGGAAGGTGGTTATTTTCTTGGCAGGGCAACGTAGTGTTTTATCCAACTCTGAGTTATGGCATAATTTTGTATGCAGGAGAGAAGATGTAAAAGATGTAAAGATAGAAATTAGTTTTTACTAGAAAAACTAATGCATAAGGCATTTTACTAGAGCTTGAAGGGTACATCGTACGAAAGACGTAATGTTCTTACCATTTGTATGGCCGCTGTGTATTGCTTCTGTTCCACGTAGATATGTGCGATATTGACCCATACATCAGCGAAATCAGCAGTTGCTTCTCGAACTTGAGCGAACACATCTCGGGCTTCGTTGACGAATCCTTTGTGAGCCAGAACGCAACCGATGCCATGAGCAGCCCAGATATTTTTGGGATCCGCACAAAGAACAGCTTTGTAGAATGATAACGCCCGATCCTGTGGTGTGATGATAAGTGGGGGAGAGGTAGTTTGTAGAAGCTGATCGTATACAGAACGCATAGCTCATAGTGAGCCCTGCGGAACCCGTGCTGTTCCGGGGCTATTAATGTCAGACTTTCGAAATGGCAGCGCAAGAAAGCGTCTATGATACTCTCCATTACTTTGGAGGCAGTGGGAAGCAGTGCTATCGGACGATAATTAGAGGGGTTTGTCCTGTCACCACCCTTGTATATCGGCGTTATGACCCCTTGCTTCCAAGCATTCGGGTATTCGGCACTGGTGTAGGAGCGGCTGTACAGTAAGGCAAGCGGGAAGGTTGAATCGGTATGACGCGCGAAATTAAGTTTCTGGCCGAGGAACTAGCGTACATCAATCTGTAAAAGATGGAAAGGTAAACGACAGTTACTGAGTAGCGTGAACAAGGTATGAAAAAGGAATGCTTAGTTAATGCTATCTTTTGTTTTTGGCGTGGCATTACTTTCGGTTTTAATGGGTGGTTAATTAAGGGCACATACTGAGCGTCAATACGAAATGTGTATGCTGTAATCGGGAGAGCGTCGGATTAATCGAAAACAGCTGATCATATTTTGGGGGCGGTACTGTTTGCTGTATTGGCTGATGGGGGTGAATGATATGAAGTACGTTGTTAAGGCCTGATAAGGGTGTAATAAAGGTATATTGATTTAGGAGAACTGAAAATTTTGGTGCATTATTTTACGATGTATATGATGGTTTTTGTTTTAGTGCGCAGGTGTTGTTTCGGTTTCGCTGCAATGGCTGTGGATGATACTGTTGCTTTCCGCGCTGCTTTTCGCCAATATTATAAAGCATTTGGTGAATTCGAGGAAGATTTGAAGCGGTTTCAACTTCAGACGGCGACCAGTTTTTACAAATATGACGTTTTGACCGCTGCGTCGTATAAGAAGAGGTCCGGTCAAGAGCTACCCGATGGGATGCGGTACAAATGGGTACAATATCGTTGTGTCCATTGCACCCGGAAAGGAGACGGTGGCAGTCGGTAAGTGCGAAAGTTTTTTATGCGTAATTCATGTTTCATAGGTATGTCAGCCTCGGTTGTAAAGCGAGCATATCCATCAGTGCTAAGGGCATTTACTATGAGATAGGCTCGCATTGTCTGGTGCATAATCATAATTTTCACTTGGGGAATCCAAGTTTGTACGTGGGTAACCGGCGTCTGACTCCCGAGGCGGAGCGGCAAGTGTTTGATTTAATGCAGTCCTTCCGTAATACCGGAGAATTGCGAGACTATGTCCTGGAAAGATATAACAAGCGACTGAATCGACAGGACCTATTTTCCATCCGCCATCGCTTAGGTGGGGTATCTAAGGGGAATGATGTAAACGCGGTAGCGGAATTGTTGAGTAAGAACGGCGCTGTGCGTGTCGAAAGAGATGGGTCACAAGTGCGATTCGTATTTTTCGTTCCTGCTTCAATGACTTCCATAGCGGCGAAATACGGCGACGTACTTCTTGCGGATGCGACGCATCAGGTGAACTGCGGTGGTTATATTCTTTGGCACTGTATGGTTATTGACGGTTTCGGCGTAGGTCGAAGCGTGTTTTACGCTTTAATGCCCAATGAGACAGCATGCAGTTACCTGGAGGTAGCTCGGGGCATGTCGGAAATGTTGCCCACCACCTTGTCAGCGAAGACCATAGTCATGGATAGGTGCCTGGGTCAAATGAAGGCATTTAAGTCAGTATATGCACGGAGCACTGTAGTATTATGCCGGTTTCATTTCCTGCGGGACGTTTCACGCAGATGCCAGTATTTGTCACAAGTGAAGAAGGCGGACAGAGTTCTGCTCAAGCAGTGGATGCACCGATTAGTGTACACGAAGACGGAATTGCAATTTAAGATGCTGCTCAGAGCGATAAGGGTTAGAAGCAAAGAGGCATTCACTTACCTCAGTCGTACGTGGTTGCCCTTCGCAGGAAGCTGGGCGTACCACCGGTTGCGCGATGTGCGTACGTTGGGTGCGTTCACCACCAACAGAGTGGAAAACGAGAATAAGCACCTTAAGTGCGGATTAAGCGAAAGGACATCGCTGTTGCAACTGTTTGAGGCCGTTGTACGTAGAGCACGCGATGCGGAATCACGTTGGACCACGTCACTGGGCAAATTGCAGATGTCGAAATCGCGCACCATTCCGGCAACAGGGCAGGTGCGGGAGTTGGTTTCCTGCCTTTCTACTTATGCTGCTGCCATATTTATGCGGCACATTTCTTCAGAGACGGTCACCTCAATACGGCCGAACGGCACTGGGTATGACGTATTAGGTAAGGGAGACCGAAAGCACACCGTTTTTATGGGTAATGAGATGGCCTGTGACTGCAGTTTCCTTAGGCAATGGGATATGCCATGCGCACACATTGTGCGAGTAGCTGGGATGTTAACCGCAGACGTTACCCCACTTATGCACAGAAGCCGTTGGTCCATGGTGGACCATCAGTTTCCCATCCCTGATGGGGAAACCTTCCGAGCGGAAGTTGAACCGATGCCCTCCACATCTGCCTCCACGCACGTCGTGTTAACGCGTGAGGAAAAGTTGTCTCGTGCTAACCGGCTGTTCGGTGATTTAACCGTTGCCATGACCGGCCTGGGTACAATGGCATTCCTTGAGGCAGAGTATTTCTACCAAAGCAGCCTAAATACCTTGCTACGGAGGCAGAGACTGGTGTCCATTGGAAATTGTCTCCCTGACAACCTCCACCAGGCGGACGCTATACCACAGCGTCCACGGCCCAAGGCAACAAAAAGGAAGCAGTCGCTTTCACCTAGGGTGATGGAAGCCCCGCAACTGTCAACCGAAACGCACCCCCTTCACTTCCGACGCATGCCGACTGTCACCTCCGCAGTTTGCAAAACCGTGACCAAACGCGCCAGAGCTGCGAACATACAACCTGCAAACAACAACGAAAATGCCTGCATCATTTGCGATACGGAGGACGGACCGAGAACCGACGGAGACACAGTTCACTGGGTGATGTGCTGCAAATGCAACCGGTGGCTTCATCAGGTTTGTGCCGCATACACCGCAGACCAGGAGCACTATACGTGCGTCTTTTGCATGTGAGTTAACATTTTCTAACCCAATCTCTCTTCTTCCATGCCACTGAGAACGAGAAACCGGCCCTTTTTAGGGCCACCCTCTGGCGCTGCAGCGGCATGACTCCCACGGATGGTAACCCACGCTGCTTGGCAGCTGCTGGGTACTGCTTGGAGCATACCGCATGGCAGCCTAGTGGGTGGCTCTACGAACGACGATTATGCGTCCCTGGTTATCTATGACAACAGAGCCCCATTCTCAGTGGCTGTTTATTTTGTATGCCAGGCTCGACCGTAGAGTGACACAGGCAACGGTAAGTCATGTTTGTTCTGTGGTACGTATGGACGCATAATAACCCTCGCCCTTTGTATCCCCATGTCTTTTCATGGTCCCTCGCAGCGGTCATCTGGAGGCGGCAAGAATGGAACCCGTAAGCAGGTACGTCCAGTATTCATGTCCCATTTCTATTGCCATTGCATGGAATATAGCCCGGACCTCAGTGATCCACTGTGTTGACGCGACAAACCTATACTGTCCTCAACAACAGCGTGAGCACTTTGAATGGGCCTGAACAACACTTCCCTGTGTAACATTCACCTTCATCCCTTATTATATGGACAATGTATTGCTGTTGGAAATGCGGTGGAACCGGAGAAAGCGTTCCTTTGCTAGTGGTCTGCTTAGTGAGTAGTTGCTTAACTCCACGGGCATGTGCTTGCACGGCTGTTACGCAAGCTGCGGACTGGGCAACATTTAATATTGACCGTGGTCAACGTATATATGTAGTCCGATAGCACCGTTGCCTATGGTAGCATGCCTTTCACTTCGTCAGTGCAGTCGGGAACTCATAATATGTACCCACCGCCAGGTTATTGGAATAGTCAGTCAGTACAGTACAGTCTTTCGTGCGCACAGGAACCTCTCACACTTAAGAGTGGCGAGCTCATGTGAGTAGTCAGTGACATGCATTGCATATGTCAGCATGGCTGCGATATTCTAAGTGCAATCGGGAACATCGATAAATTACTGACGTCCACTTTATATGAGTTGATAGTTACCTCTACAGCATATCGTAGCATGCCTGAGACGTCTTAAATGCAGTCCGGATTACGTATTACCAACCCGGCGTAACCTTATATCATTGACGACTTAGCTCCATCGCACATAGGGGCTTTGCTGTTACATTTTCCGTTGAGCCAGCGGCGTACGATAATTAACAGCGGCGAACAAAACGGACCAGTCCTTTAAGTTGACTGCATATGCCACCATCGCTGTGACTTCTTATTCAGAACCGAGAACATCCATTGCTTAACGGCGGCCTGCTTATGTATACAGTCCATTAGCTCCATAGCATTGCCGTGACACATTCTATCTAGCGGCGGACATCTCATAATTACTGGCGACCAGTGCATGCAAGCAGTCCGGTAGCTCTATTCCTTATGGAACAACGGTTGACTACAAAATAGTATTACGTGGATACGGAAGCCCGGTGGGAGAAAAACTATTGCGAAAAATGAATTGCATGACAACGTGAGAACCGTTTTGGTGGCCTCACCACAGACTTCAGTACAATAGCAGAGACGTTGGAGTAATAAACATACAAATGCACTGTAGGCGTTAAGGATTTGAGGAAAGGTTGAGGGTTCAGTGGACCAAACGCTATGCTGTGACACAATCTGTGCACCGGGCAACATGTAACAATTACGGGCGTCCAGCTCTTATGAGCTGTCACTTAGCTCCATTGCCTAAGATAGGACGTATTTTATACCTTCAGTGAGGTCGGGAACATCTAGTACTTGCCACCCGCCAGCTTATTAGAGTAGACAATCAGTACCGTCGCATATGCAGGCATTGCTGTGCCATCTTCTGTGCAGCCAGCAAGCACTAACACTTACGTGCGGCCCGCTTATGTGATTAGTCAGCGACCCCTTTCGCATATATTAGCATCGCTGAGACATCCTCAGTAGAGTTGGAATCGTGCAATAAATAC